TAATTTTGATGATCTCTTGTTAAACTGTCATTTTTAAACACACGTTACAATTTTTTCGCCGACGCAGTAGAAAGTTATTTCCATAATTAGACTGAATCCGAACACGTGTTTCCACAGAAAAATCAATTTAATTTTTTGAAAATCAATTTTTCGTACAGAAAGGATTGGGCTTGAATTTTTTTGAACTAAGAAACCAAAACAAATGAACGAAAAGTAATTTATTGCTAAAATGAAATTCGAACTATATATCTGATTTTATCTGGATCAGTTAACGAAATAAATCGACCAAATTATTGGCGTAAAAGGATTTCTATCTTTGGAGGCAAAATAGTTTTAACTTGACGATAAAAACTGAATTTTTCGTCGAGCAGACCTTTTATTAGGGAACCTTTGGGGTTTAATAAACCCCAGGTAATAAACAGAAAAAAAGGCTTACTTTTTCTCACGATACGAAAGACAATATAAAGGAAGAAAAAAATTAAGTTGGTGCTTTTTTAAGCTTAATGTCAGCTTTCTAGCTGTTAGAATGTTCGCAAGGAAAAAAATCATATTTTTCAAAGAGTTCTAAGCGAGTCCTAAAGTCTTTAATATACTAAATATAACATATATATATATACAACAATTATGACAATGCAGAACTGACCTGATGATCGAGTCTCTTTTCTTCAGTCAAGACTTCTGAACTATAAGCAAATAAATTAATAAAACTCCACAGGCAGAACAAGTGCATGATCTTTACAGTTGCGACTGTTCATCAGTTGTACTAAAAACTAACATCCGATAGATCTCTAATCCAAACAATCAAAATACTAAAAATAATTTTCCGAGTTTGACATACAGACAGAGATCGTTGAACAAATAAGATAATGGCATATATCGCGACACCATAGCCTGTTAAAAAGAACAAAAACGTCTTATTTTTATCAAGTGGCAGCTTGTTTACAACAAATTGTTCCTCTGATGATATCCACACTTTATAGTTTTTTACAATTATCTGTCATTTTTGCACACGAAGCAATTTAGTTATCCGCCAACGCAGCAAAAAGTAATTTCCATAATTAGAAAGTGAAAATTCTGGGTAAACACTAGTTTATACAGACGAATCAATAAAACATCTTCAAAATATATATTTTTCCAGAAATTTATTTTAAAAAGGGAACTACAAAATTTCTTTAATTTTTTTTAATGCAAAAGCCATTAATACGTTGAAAGTATTACTAATCTAAAGTAACGAAGTTGGGGAACAAATTTTTGCTTGTAAAATGAAATCCCACCTTCGACTGAAAAATGCCAAGAACTTCAGAAGACGATTATTTTTATTAATTATCAAAGGATTTTCCCCTCAAAAACTCGGTTATAAGTAATATTCACTGCTAAACCTTGGCCAGTTTTCATGGTATAATATACCAGCTACATATTTCTAAAACTGATGATAAAAACTAAGGAAATAATATTTATTCGATAGTATAAGTTCTAACAAGTTAAAGCAAATTTCGAAAGTAAACCATTCAGATATAAAGTGATTGTGTAGGTGTTGCAGATTATAGAAAACTGCTAGATAGAACGATCGGTTTCCTTTTTTTTTTTTAACTTATAGCAGATAAACAATATTATGAAATAATTATTTCTCGAGAGGCAACTCTAACTTACGACACACTAAACGAACGGGGAAAAAACCGCTTTTCACAGTTTGCTGTTATGTCTTTTTGCATTGAGACATTATATTTTGCTTTACAGACATTATTCATAGCAAAGAATTTCTGAACGAGAGTGTTAACAATTTTACCATGGCAGATGTGCCTTCCTGTTTTAAATCACAGTGAAAAATACATCGAGTGATCAACTTGATAATTACGAATATCAGTTGTACAAGAGTATGTTTAAAAATAATTGGAGACGAACTCATAACGAACAGTGACTTAAATTTACCTCAGACAGTGCGTTGTGCGAAAAATATCTCTTGTTTTTGGACTGGCCAGTTCGAAGAAATAAATCGGCAAAGTGATTGGCGTGAATAGATATCAGTTTGTTTCGAGGCTAAATAGTTTTTATTTGCATGGACCCTGAGGAACGATTTTTTTTTTCGAGCCGACCTTGTAAAAAGGAACTATTACGATCTAAACATTTCTTAACCAGAAAGAAAAAGGAAGAAAATAAACGCAGAATCCTAACATTTTTTGCTAAATGACTGAATCATGATTCACGGGTTAAAGGAAAAAATATTTATAAGTGAACTTACGTGGTTTCCATGTTCTTTAGTTTCACGCCATGCAGAACTTGAAAGAAAAGCATTCCATCTCCTAATGTTTGATTTAAGAGATTTGATTTTCGTGATATAATGTCTTAAAAATTATCAGCCCCACGCCGTGCGTCAATTTTCTAATTCGACCATAAAGCTGTCTTCTCTTTCAAGGCCACGTTGACTTGTTAGGCAAAGGCCAACTAAGTAAGTATATAATATTCGCACAGATTTTGCTGGCTGAGGCTGCCACATCCCCTTGCCTTTCGCACTTGAGCGAATTATCGTCAGATACAATGAAAATACTCCTACTTCGTCGCTTCTTCTTTTTCATTTGCTTCGTGCTAAATTTGGACGCATCTTTAAACACGTTTGAATCACCTGCTTAATGCGTGGGAGGGGTGGGTGGAAATGTGCCTGTGAGACGTGTTACTTCACTGAGCTGACTTGTTAGTCATATTAAATTAAAACAATACTTTATAGTAGAACTTCCCACGCTGAAGCAGTGCTGTGGACACTAGTGCCGTCTTCGTCTTGTGATTATGGTGAACCGGAAAGCAACAGAGAAAAGATCTGGAAAACAAAGGCTTTGTTCACATGGAACCGATTAAATATTTTCGCTCTGTTCACACTGAACTTTGAAAGATCAGTAGCTCCCCAGACATTGTCAGTGACTGTACAACAAAACAATAGATGATTCAACACAAACAATACCTCTTGCCCTAAAAGCAAAAGAAACTATACTGCTTATTTAGGCCACTGAAAATAAAGGTCTGCAAGGGCTACTGTACTACAACTTTGAACGGCTAGGCGTCTAAATTTTCCTACGGTTAATGTGGTTTTCGCGTGAAGGGATCACCTTAACGCACGAAATTTCAACCGGTCGAATGATTCGTCCGGTACCTGGTGTGAAAGTGGCTAAAGTGGCGAATTCCCAATTGTAAACGTAAAGAAAAAACTGGCTCGGGGAAGAGCGTAGGATCTGTAAACAGAGTACAATGTCAGTCCGTCACTCAAGGCCTCATTACTCAGGCACTTTGAATATTTTCAACCTAAAACTGATCACAGGGATCAAGCCCCCTGGAAAAACTACAAGGACATGTTCTCTCTTGGTTGAAACACTTTAGTGGGTCAGTCTCACCTTCCGCAGGTGGAACCAGATCATTAATTTCTTTAAAACTTCGACGAAGGATGACTTCTTAGACAAGCATGCTTCCACCGTGCTCGGGAGGCAGTGAGAAGATGGTACCCCCAAGCGATAAGCTTTGGGAAATGAATTTTTTGCGTGAAGCTAGACGAACAACTTTTTCGTAAAATACTAGGCAACAAATATAACCGAGCGCTGGAGAAGGCCGGGTCGCATCATATAAAGTTGAACTTTAAAAAGTTTGTCTTGCTTTAGGATATTTCAGAATCCAGGAGTGGCTTTAACGAAGACGAACAAGGCTGACGAAAAAGTCCCGTTTTTATGTGCACTTGGCCATCTTAAGGTACAGAAAAACGGGCAACAAAAAACGTGTAACTTGTCTTGCAACATCATCTGCAAAAGGAGTTGAATAGCGCTATTGCACGTTTTACCACCCCCATCAATCCTGTCTTGCAACAAATCAGGTTGTTAACAGGTTTGAAGGTGAGTGGTAAAACGTGCAGCATCGCTATGAACTCCCCTGCAGCAATGTTGCAAGACAAGTTGCACGTTTTTTGTTGCCCGTTTTCCGGTACCTTTACATCGACATGACGCGCGGGAGAAAATTACAAGGTGGTCGTGAAGATGACAGTCTGGGGTAACAATATTGCTGCCGTCTCGTGCTAAAAACCACAACTCTCGTTATGTATTTTTTGTGCCTTGACAAGGCACAGAATAGCAAGTTGTCCTACATGTGGTTTTTCAGCGTAGGCGAGAACCACACCAACCTGGCATGCGAAACTCGCACGTGTTGATCACTTTATCCGTGCTGTTCCACCTTGTAACGTGACCGGTTAAACACGGATTTTGAATTTATACAATCCACTGTCTTTTGATCAAATCTAAAACCCGACTTTTAGAATTTATGATCGGAGCGTGCGCCCGGTCCTCCGGCAGAATGCGTCACCATAGATCCAGAAAAAAAAATACACCTGGCAAGCGGTTTTCCCGTAATGATATGAGACTCATCACGTTCTCACACTAAGAACCATGGTTTTTCCATATTTTTCTTCGTAGCGAACCCAAAGAATTCGCCCGAAGACACTCACCCTGACATCTTTATTTTAATATTAAAAGAAAGAAAGAAGTTTATTGTCGCTCCCCTGTGGGGTTTTTCAGCGACAAAGACAAAGGTATAATGCATTATAAAGGTTATATATCTAGCTAAAAAAGAAGGGGGGGATTACTTAAGTTACCGTTTAAAATTCCTGTGGTACAATAAAATGTTAAAACCTACGAAATGATCGCGGGATTAAGAAATTTATGTCACGATATTTGCCTTAGTTTCTGTTTAAAATGTCTAATTGTATGTACATGAATGTTTTTGGCTCCCTGGAATGCCCAAATCCATATTTCAAGAAATAAATTTTATGCAGGGAAATAATAAGGTGAATCCTGGGCGAATGTTTCCACGATATCAAGTTGCCGAAAAGTCGACTGGCTCCAACTTTGGAGTTAGCCGATAAAATACTGCAGTGCAATTATTAAAAAAAAACTACGGAGGCGAAGTTTTCAATGGTAGTTTTTCCTTTTTAATTCAATATTTACAAATATTGTCAAAGCTTATTATTGTTTACAGGCTCTAAAGGGACTAACAGGTTAAAATTAAGAAACAAGTAATTCGGATTTTTTTATGGACTATCGCTAGACGACGATGATGACGATGAAGACATGATTTCCACTTCGTCGACACCCTGATCTTGGTTGCCATTTGTTACTTCCTTTGTCAAGTTATTGGCTATAAAATCGAAGCCGGAGGAGGAATCGTGCTAAAAAAATATACGAATGATTATGAATAAATAAAACTGTAAAATAATTTTTTAATTTAACTTCTTATATACAGTAAGATATGAAGCCCCAAATTTGCCAAAATCAACAAATTGAAGAGGTCATTGTAGAAGCCATTTTTGCAAAGTGAGTTGCCAGTTTGAGTATAGCCTGCGTGGCAGGCTTTCGAAGGGAAAGGGAAAGGGGATTTTGGGCGCGAGAGAAACGCGAGGGGCGCCCTACTCGCGCGCCCAAAATCCCCTTTTCCCTCCCCTCGAACACCTGCCACGCAGGCTAGTTTGAGTAAACAGGTTTGGCGAAACTTCTTTAAAATCGTGAAAGTTATTACCTTTATTCTGAACCTTTATGCAAGCAGGTAGATGCAATTTGGTGAGTGTGAAATGTCAAAATTTTCTAGTCTAGGAATAAACGCCTACTGGCAGGCCGAGTCTAATAAATATAATCTACCTGGAATGATGTGGATCCTCCAGAAAAATTGCTCTGCCACGAGAAGGAAGAAGCTTGACCATTTGCCCGTCCTTTTTGAAAATAAAAAGTCCGATAATCACATCATTTTTTTAGAAACCACTAAAGGCACAAATTAAGTTAACGGGGCATTGTTTTTTTCTCAAAAGAGCCGAAATTGTCCAAAACGTTGTTTGCACGCCTCGCACTACAGCTGTAGGCAAGGTTTTGTTCCTTATGGTACTTTACAATATCCAAAGTATTGGCATGTTGTTTTGTTTGTTGCAGTTGTGTTGCTAAGCAACTGCAGGAAACCATCGTGATATGTAAAGGGAATGTGAGATCCCACCATGCTAAAGTAATCCAAGTACTATGTGACTTTTGACAAACTTTTAAACTCACAATAGGTGACAAAATTGTTAAGACACTATCCTCTCTCATGGGGTAACTTTGGAGAAAAAAACAATCCACACCCCTCCACTCCCTTCCATTCAAAGTTTGGGTGTTTGTTGTTTCTTACAGGTAGCTTGAACAGCAACACAACATTGCATGGAGGGGGTGGGGGAAGGGAAAGCTTTTCTTTCCACTTTTTAAGTTTGACAAATGTCAGTTAAAGGCCCATTGGGGCAAAGTGTCTCAACTAATTTTGCCCTGAACTGCAGCTTCACAAGGAACAAGTTTGAGCTGAAAGAATATGGTCATAAGAATAGGGTGGTTAAATGAATGGTTGGATATAGCAGGGTTCTCAATAAGAGCTAGTGGCTGGAGAAATTTGCCGACTATTTCACGTGAACTCACCACCTACGTTTCTTTGGAAATTACCCCAGTGTATAGAGTATTCATGTTCTGTCACTGAATAAAAAAGCCACAATTTAATGATGTCTGTGTTCTGTTCAAACAGTCTAATTTCTGCTCCAGAATGCTGTAAATGCATAAAATTTAAGGAGCCCAGATTTCAAAATGTTTCCAAACTTGCGCCTTCGGCACTCGCAAGTTGCACCTTTGCCACAAGTTTTTTCCTTCTACACCTTCTCCAAAGCATTTTCCACGTACTTAAAATCTTATTGAAAACCCCGTATAAGGCTTGACCCATTGTAGTTAAAAGGCAAAAAAGGACACATTACATTGTAATTTGTCTGCTAATACCTTACCAAGAGCATTTGCTGGTTGTGAATTTGAGGTAGATGAAGAAGGCTGCATAAATTCTTGCAGATTTGAATCTCCCACGGGTTGTTCAGTTTCCATAGCAACATCTTCCCCAAGTCTGCCAAGCAAGCCTGATCGCATCTCAATATCTTGAGGATATGGTCTCCGAGGGTCTCCTACATGAACACAATAAGTGGTTTAATAAAATAATAACTACAGTGTACTAGCAAAATTTTCATTCAAGGAGACAGTTTTAACATTTGAGACAGCCTGCATTTAAGTCTGTGGACGAAATCCTAAAGTGCGACCACACAGGACACATGATACCAGCTCTCAGTAAGTGCTTTCACATAGTACTATTTATTTAGTATGTACAGTAGTTCTAGTTACCATTCAAATGAAACCTCTTCAGCAGTACTTTCACATAGTACTATTTATTATGTAGCTCTAGTGTTTGAGTCAATGGCTGAAATCCTATGATGTGACCATTCAAATGAAACTTTTTCAGCAGTACTTTCACATGGTACTATTTATTTAGTGCATAGCTCTAATGTTTGAGTCAATGGATGATATCCTATGGTGTTACCATTCAAATGAAACTTCTTTGGCAGTACTTTTATACTATACTTCTTAATAGTATGTAGTTCTAACTTTTGAGTCTGTAGATTAAAACCTATGGTGTTAAGATTCAAACAACACCTTTTTGGCAGTACCTTCACATCATAGTGTTTATTTACAAAGTAGTTCTCAAGTCTACAAATCTAAGTCTGTGGATGAAATCCAATGGTGTGACCACTACAATGAAACCTCTTAGCAGCACTTCGTTACCGCATCATTCACTTAACTGTAAATCACAAAATAAACTTTAGGATTTCATATTTTTAAGCAAAGTCAAAGGTTTTGCTGTTCCAAGTCCTCCCTAGGAGTGAAATAAGAAATAACAAAAGGCAGCTTGGGAGATTTTGAATAACTGACCTGGCATCCATGACACCGGTGCTTCTACAGCATTGCTACTACTAATTCGATGAGCATACTTGATGAGCTCTTCAGAAGAAACTATTCCTGTGAAAAAGAAAACATTTTGCATTTACAAAATTAGTGTATAGATTCTGCAATGCTTTCTTTTCCTTGACAAGGACACCCACACCTCTGCAAAATTATACCCTTTCAGTAACAGAGTGATTAATGGGATCTTATGAGATGGTTCTAACTTTTGATTCAGCGAACGAATTTCTTTGATATTTACCATTGAAATAAATTCTCTTCAGCAGTATCTTTATTTAGTACCATTTGTTTTCCAGGACTTTCCAAATTGAAATTTAGAAATTTTGCCCTATTTTGTCTTTAACCTCTTTCTGGAGTAAAGAGGTTGATATTACTAATAAACGAACTTAAAAATGTTAATCCTTACCTTTATTAGCCTGGTTTATGGCAGATAACTTTTTCTTTGCTTGGAACAACGCTTGGGACTACAAGATCATCGGGAAACAGTCACTTGTTAATTAAGTACCAGAAATAAAATATTACGGAGCTTAAGCAAAGACAACGGCGGCAGCAACAAGAATGGCAAAAAAGCGATAGGTTTAGATTGGCAAGACAACAACTTTGCATATGCATCATGCTTTTTTGTGCATTTCTTTGCCATCACTGCATGACTAAAATGTGAAAGTGCCTAACTTCACGTTTTGTCGAGGACGTGAACACAATTAGACAACGACTTTTATTTACTCTTCTTGAACTTTGATATAGTCTTTTAGAATTCAACTCCAGAAAAATTTGACGTACTGAACGAGTTGGAATAAGCATGATAACGTTGGAAGTAGTGCAAATTCACTTTTTTAGTGATGTTTTCATAGCTGTTGCTGTCATTGTTGATTAAGCATTCTATGGACAGTGCTTAGAACCTTCCCTTGAAAGAGAATGTGCTATATGGGTATTCTTTGTTTTGCTTTTTAAGTAACTGAAAAGAGCTTAGCATGGCCTTCATTAGGGGGATGTAGCCAGCCAAAAATTAATGAACAGTAACTAGTGTTTTACTTATTTTCAAACTTAGACCCCATTCACACTTCTGTGTTTTCATTTGAAAATGCATACAATTCTAATATGCAGGGCATTATTTTTCATCGAAAACCCATCCATTTGAAAAAGCTCTTGAAAATGGATCAAAATGCATACATGTACATACTGTATTAGTGTGGATGGTCCAAAAAAGGTCAAAAATTCATCAAAATGAAAGAAAATGTTGCAGGTGTGTGTTTGCAGCATGCGCATAGAGTTCAACCTGCGTCACAACATGCAATTGTACTGTTTCTGAACATTTTAGTGGACAGTTGAAAACATCAAAACGGTAGGGTGGACGTAAATCCATTGATGCATTTTCAAGCACAACGAAAACACATGCTTTTGAAAACGCATTAGTGAGGACAGGCCCTTAGAATACTAAGCCATTTTTACTATAGCAGCTGATTATAAAGACCAGTTGCCAGCTGCTAATGATAGCCCTGGGTTAGCTTTTCAAAACAAGCCCATCGAAAAGCCTTTATTTTAAGATGAGTTACTTTTTAACATACTCACTAGAATCTTTTCAGCTTCCTTAAGTTGAGATTCTAGATTAAGAATCTCTTGATCTTTCTTGGAAATGTCTTCTTTAACTGTTTGGATTTCCTTCTGTCTTGCCTGTTGTTCTTGCACTTGTTTGACAGCCAATTGTAGTTCCCTGTCCTTTGCAATGAGCTGATCGACCGCCTTAATTTAAATTAAAACTTGTGGAATTATTTAAAAGAGGTTTGGGGCATTACAGCAACATATTGCGCATTGATAATTGTCATACAAAAAAAGAAAAGTGACGTTGCAAGAGGGTCAATCAAGAAATCCGCTGTGTATTTCCTTTTTCTGGTAATTATTGTTCTTCCTCGGACACCCGCAACATTTGGCTATTATTCACTGACTGATTTTCGAGAAGAAGAGTTTTGATTTCTGATTAGCTTTAACAGTTTTGCAATTGACTTGATTTGCATGAGACTACCGAATTCAGGACAATTTAATTTTTAGCAAGTGCAAAAGAAAATGCTTCTTTTTGCATAAATATTTCCTTCTCTGTAGCGATGACAAAGACATTCCAACACTTAAAACAATGGTAGCCTACTCGTATTGTTTTTACATTGTTTCTGGAAAGTGTGAGAATTATTGTTAGTTGCCATAAAGTTCAAAAGAGACTGAAAATGGAGGTAGCCTTTGAAACCTCGTTTTTGTTCTCAAGGCCTAATGGGTACCCCACTTTTCACGGACGGCAATTATCAATGGGCACATTTCTGTAATGAGTAACAAGTCAATAAGAAAACAAAATGGCACAGAATTCAGCTACCTTTGTCATATCCCCAGAACTAGCATCTTGTTTTGATGTTCGGTAAAGAGAAGCCGCTGATAGACTCTCAAATAATTCCCTAAAAACAGAAATTCTGACAGTTACTATGGTAATATTATCAGTAAATAGTCTGAACATGGGGCTCAGGTTCATTATGAATTGTAGGTTAAAACAATCAAAAGTGTGAGTACTGTAGCCTTCCATGCAGACGTTCTTTTGGCTTGTCACACAAATCCTCCCCAACAAACATCTGCTGAAATGAGGGTTTAAAAAAGTAGACCAACCATAGCACACTTCCAGATCTGGGAAGTGTAATTTAGACCTTCAGAAATTTAGCTTGAGACTCCAGGAAAGATCAGAAGAGTCAGAAAAGGTCTCCAGGAAAAGCCCTGAGATTTCTTAGAACAAACTCCTTAGTTAAATTACTCTATGAGGATAACACACATTCATGCTAGAGACTACCCCAAAAACTCACAAAAATATTACAGTTTTGTTATCTCTGAGGCTTAATTTGCTGAACAGAGGTCAGCTTTGCTACAAAAAGGATTTTTGTTAGAGCATTCTGCCCGACCATTTGCCTAACACTTTTTTGGCTCGGAGGTAAAAGAGAGAGTTTCAGTATCTAATCTGTTTTCTGTAATAAACCAGGGCTAGTTCTAATCTGTCAGCTGATTGTTGGAGAGCTGTTGGTCATCTGTCAGTGAACTCCGACAGACAGCTGACAGATTTTTGGGGGACTTGTTTTTTCAATTTTACCTGAGAACGACTGAGTTTAGAGATGCAAAGACAGAGCTATTCTGCAAGAACTTAACATAGCTGCTGAATTCTACATAATAACTTTCAAGAAGACCATATGAATGCAGTTGCGTGAATACTGAATACTGTTAGAGACTGTAACTGACGTTTCAAAAGCTTGTACAACTTTGACGATACCTTCAGAACTAGTAAATAAGTCTGAGCCACTGTCAGTAACAGAGTTATTTTGCACGTCCACTCGGCTGGACGGTCAAATACATCCTTGAGTTATATAGTATGTATGTACTGGCATGTGAAATTCTGTTCACTATGAAAGTTTTGAATACGTAGTAATTGAAATACAAACAAAATAAATCCAAAAGAAAAAAGTTATATAGATTACCCTACCTTATAATTTTCGGCTGTTACATGACTAACCCTCACACCCGGGTAATTAAACATGTATTCTACAGTTAGCTTAATAAATGCTATTAATAACTACTTACTTTGTCAATTTTTCATAGTCATCTAGTATTGTATTTATAACATCTTTAGTACTTCTTTCTCGAGGAAAAGCGGACGCCATTTTCTTTGGTAGTATTGCAATGGATTGTGGGATTGTATATAGTGAAAATTCAGCGGACTCTTCCATTGTATTAAAAAAACAAAATGGCGGACAAGACAGACAACGAAGCAAGTGAAGTACCTTTAGCGGCAAAAAGCACGCCCAAAGATGCTTTGGTTATGGCAGCTATTTTGAAAGAAATGGGAATCAGTGAATATGATCCAAGAGTTATCAATCAGATGCTGGAATACACCTATCGTGAGTTTTAAAATCCAATAATTCGGTGTCGACAATCTTTATCTCCCCTTCAGCGACTTGAGCGAAATATTACGGACAGATATGAAGGGATTTGGTAGAGCTGCAACGTTTAAGTCTCATTTGATTTTTGTGTGTGTGTGCGTGTGTGTAAACATCTCCTTTTTATTTTAGAGAAAACTTGTTTAAACATTGAACATCTGTGGTATTAACGCAACCTTTGTTTATTTGATTGTACAAAAACACGAGATCTTTAGCTCATAAACCTTGTCGTTTCCATAGTCATTATGTACAGTACTGTAGATTTCAGTGAACAAAATCCTATAGTGGGACCATTCAGTTATTTTTAGAAGTAGTATTTGCTTTTTTTTGCTTAAAAAAGATAATAGTTTCTCTTAGATTTTCGTGGGAAATGTATTCCAGTGCTGTTAAGGAAAGGAAAAAAAGGATAATTAGATTTCACTCAGACGGAATCCATTTTTCATTTAGGAAGTACAAGGCTGTGCTCGGCATTGCTGAGCAGGCAATGATCTGATTGGTAGAAAACAACAATAGCAAACCTTTGTGTCCAGTTCGTCAGACCGGGGGAGGACTGTGGGTTCATTTCCCGAACAGTGGCTGGTATTCTCGAGCCTTGTCAGCTAGTCAGTCCAGTCATATAGAGAATTGCACTGTCAATCAGAACTGTCAAGCCAGATCAGTTTATTCATACTGCGTAGCAAAAAGTTTTTGCAGACTAGCAATTTGTTTTGTTTTGCAGGAAATATTTTTTGCGATTTAATAGCACAGATTGGCTTTTCTTGCTGGGAATCAATGTTTGTGATTTTGATAATGTCTTTGTATTTAATGCATATTTTCAAACAAAACTATGGTGTGTGTATCCTATGCAAAACCAGTCAAACAGATTGCTTGTCTTTTCCATTGGATTACGAACACGAACAAACATGATTCCTTACATGTATTTTTTAGTAGTGAATTTAAGTTAGAGAATTTTGGTCAGCACCTGGAAATGTCCTTGTCCACCAAAGGCAAAAAAATTGTCACCCGGGTCCACCAGGATGTGGTAGATAAAAGCAAACTGTTTTTACTTCAGGTTACATAACAACAGTTTTGGAGGATGCTCTTGTTTACTGCAAACATGCTGGCAAAAAAGAACTTGATGCAGATGATGTCCAGCTGGCCATTCAGTCAAGACTTGACCACTCTTATACAAACCCACCACCAAGAGAGGTAAGTAAGCTTTTTATCCAGTCTTACTGTGACACTCAGATAACAGTTAACACCTTTAATATTTCCATCAGAATGTTATTGTTTTTCAAGGAAAAGGCCATTAGATGCAAGAAAACTTAAGGATTTAATGGTGCTGAAAAAAATATGGAATTTTAAGTACTTTAGGCCTCACAGCGTTGAACAGCTACTAATAAACCAGAGTGTTCATTAGGCATCGGAGATTGAAGAATTCGCCATTTACTATGCAGAATTCTCCGGCTAATGTTCGGTAGCCTGTGACTATTTTTTATTCAGACGTAGAGCCTCTTTTAAAATATTTTCTTGTAACATTACACCTTTCTCCTGCTACTAGAATTCTTAAGGAATACATTGTGCCCTGATAAACAATAATATTGTTTACAGTCTGTCCCCTTTAAAATATTACGGAGTTAAAATGTCTACTGATTAAAATTAATCCTTTGGTAAATGGTTTAGATGAAGCCTAAAACGTTTACTTAAACCATCTGTTATACTGTTGCAGTTTCTCATTGAGATTGCTCGTCAGAAGAACCGTCTCCCTTTGCCCCAGATCCAGGCAAAGAGTGGCTTGAGGCTTCCCCCTGATCGATACTGTCTGACCTCTACAAATTACAAGGTCAAGGCACAGAAAAAGGTATTGTTGACATAAAAAAATAGAATACAGTCAAACCTCTAATATAGACTCTCAAGGGTCAGAACCAAGTAGTGTCTGCTTTACAGAGGTGTCCATAATATAGAGGTAGGGATGGCATTCTGGGACCAAACGAACTGTTTGAACTGTGCGTAATAGAGAGGTGTCAGTATTATAGGTGTCCATGAGGAGAGGTTAGACTGTATTTAATTGAAGCTGGGTGCTTGTATAAACTGCTGGTCTGGGTTGTTCAAAGCAGGGTTAAGATAACTCAAGGTTAGTCTATAGCATATTCTTGTTTAATATTCTTCTGGTCTGCAGTTTGATGATTGGATGCTTTTAAAAGAATAGGAAAAATTGTCTGAGAAAATGCTTTTTAACAAAAGAAAAAGAAATTGGGATTAAAATTTAACCCTGGGTTAGCACTAATCGGCCTTCGAACAACTAGGTCCTAGTGTCTCTTTCATATTAATTTTTTTTGAAAAAAATATTTTGCCTTATAAGCTTCACTTGTGAATTAAAAGTGGGATTTGATATCTAGAGCAGGAGTCAGTTGAGGCCTTTTTCCTCGTGCTTCTTTCATTAATATAGATATACTGTATAAGTTGTAGTTAATTTTTTATCCTAGGTAATTTTTGTTTTTCTTTTGTTCTTGGGTATGGTAATGTATGCTAATGAAGTTGAAACAAAGGAAAAACTTTAACTATGACATACATTTGACCAAAGATGCTGTTTGAAGATGTTGATTGAAAAATGCTTTCTACCTGGCAATTTGTTGCAAAATGTACCATGACAATAAGTAGAGTAGACACATGTTGGGCAAAACTGTTCAAACAATAATTTGTCATTAAAATATCTTTCTGTGTCTTTATGTTATTTTAATCGGTTTTTGTAATGCCATATACATACATTTTAGATAACAGCATTAAGAGTCCGACCCTGATTCTTGCAGCTGATCACTCGACTCTCCTATTTCTCCCAGTTTTTTTTTTTACAAAACAAAGAACTTCTTTTTTTTCTTATGTGGGTTTCAATCACGGATCCATATTTGCATTAAATTTTTCATGACCCTTCCCTTTTCTGCAGTCCCCCTCCCTCTGCAGTCACAAGTCCCTAAGTTATTCAAACAATAATTTGTCATTAAAATATCTTTATGTGTCTTTATGTTGTTTACAGCATGCTCAGTGACCAGCAGTTACCCCAGTGACAGCTCCAATGGGAGCTTCAACAACTATCACAACACCAAATACTTTGACTCCTGGAAGTGTCAGTAAAATTACTGTGAAGCAGGAACCAACTGCCAGTGCAGGCACTCACACTGTTCAGAAAACAGGGGTGACAAATACAGGGATTGCAGTATCACAGGTGGGTACTCTGTGCATAGAGGCACAGGTCACGTAAATTTTAAATGGATCCCTAAATGTTTTGGGTAAGTGTCCCCAAGTGTGATCCAAAATTGGGAATTGCACTTGCCCCTTAGGTAAATATTACTTTCATGATATTGATCAATATTGATTGCAAGTGAATATGTGACAGAGAGAACTGTATCATAAAGCCTTTTGTTCTTGGGCCATCATAGTTTAATAAAAAAAACACACACAGCGGTGATAACCGTGAACTTTTGCATTTTTATATAAACTTGAAGTGATCTAAACTGAAACAGTCACTTTAGATTACTTTCAAAAATGCATGTTGACTAGCATATGAAATGTCAAGTTTATGTAGAAATGCAAAAGTTCTCAATGTTTATCACTGCTGTATGTTATCATGGATTCAACAAAGTGGCCTTACAGGTGTTTTTTAGCAGATAAGCTTTGTAAGTGCTATTATTATTTTTATTTTATGTGGCAGGTAAAAACTGAACCTGCAAAAACTACTATGACAAGCACAACTAAAACAGGTGTACCAACAACAGGATCTCAGGCCACAGTCATCCCAGCTTCTATGCTGACTGTATCAGCTCTTCCAAGCATGGATGAAACAATGGCAAGTACTCAGCAACCACTGATCACTCCAATGAAACGAAAACATGAGGATGAAGATGACGACTACGACTCCTAGCCCTTAGGATGATCTTTATTAACTATTAACTTTAATTTGTAAACAAATTTACATACATGTACAAAGTATACATGCCAAAACTACCATGTTTACTTGAAAGAGCACTGCCTCTGTATAAGCCTTGCATTGAGGAGCAAAAAAAAGTGTGTTAAGTCCAGCAACAATTTTGGTGTGTATTGTTGCTTTTTTTTTATATTGTTGATGTTGGATGGATACTGCTACATTGTTGATATTATTTCAAGCTAGAAGGGCACTTACAGAACTTGTAAACCTTTCAAGTAACTATTGCATTCTTCTTATGGGGCCCTGTTAGGGTAAGATTCCGACGAGTAACAAGGCCTTGAAATATCAACATAAGAGAGCTAAAATGGCAATAAAGATGGGTCAAAACTGAGAGACAACAAAGAAAAGGGAAAATAAATAGTAAAATACCAGCAAGTAGCTGGCCTCCTCCTCAGTATGAGAAACCATAGGTTTTAAAATTTAGACTAGGGACATATGTACCCCCCTCCCCCTCCCAAAAAAGGGGCCTCCCTCATGCTATTACTGTTGCTTCTGAACAGACTGAAGTTAAAGAAAAAATAATTTTTCTTTTCCTTCGGTTTGTTCAGAAACAATGTAATGTAGAACTGTTCTTCAGAAATTGGAAGCTTAATGGAAGTGCATCTCCAAACAATTAATGCCCTCGAATCAGCACTGCACTAAGGGCCTGTTTACGTGGAGGTGGGGTACCCGAGATAGGTGAGGTAACCCGCTTAGGTGGGGTACAACGCCTGTCCATATAATCTCTCATTTTAATGTGATCACGTTTACATGTTAGGTGGGGTAACCCGCCACATATTACCTCACCTACCTGGGGTCCCCCACCTTCATGTAAACAGGCCCTAAGTTGAAAAATTTAGTTCAGTACTATACAGTGCTCTTTTGAGTAGTTACTGTATAATTATTTACAACTAAAAATCCCTATCAACATTTCTATATTAAAAAACTATTCAGAATATGTCTATGAACTTGTCTACCAGTTTTTTTTTTTGCCTCATGCTCATTTGAACAGTTTTAAGCTGATGCCTTCCTTGGTTGCAATTGGACTCAGTATGAAGGCACTCAAAACATTATCGTGAGACATGTTTGTGTCTTCATTCAATAAGCTCTCAAAAATCCCCTCACCTTGTTTTTCGGGGCTGTTGTTAACACTTTAAACAATATTTGCACACTTAACTCAAACTAAAACTTAATCATACTGATACTCATCAATCCTTTTAAGTTGCCTTGTTCTTGCACGTTTGGCATTTTCAGCTGCTACTGCACGTGCAGTGGTTGTTGTCTGAAATTTCCCAGGTTTGGAAGCAGCACCTGACGGAACATCGGAAGGTGAGGACTGGCCTCCTTCACTTGCCAGACGTGCCTCATCAACCTTCTGAGATATCGAGTTCTTAATGACTGGCATCAACTGTAGTAGTGTCAGATAACCAGTGATTTGTGCCAATCGCATCACTGATACTGAGTCATCAGCACTTCCCATGTGTTCTACAGACTCAACAAACAGTCGTCTCCTCAGACGCTCCGAAGCCAGTGGACAGATATTGTCAATGGCTTCAGCATATTCAATGTCGGTCATAAAGCCTGGTCTTCGTCCAGGTTGCTGTAGAAGCTTGACTTCCATTTCTTGAAAGCAAGGTTCTCTGTACTTTAGAATAATGTAAAGAAAATACTCTGATACTAGTTCCTTGGAAATCTTGTTCTCACTGAAGGATGTGTACCCCATGGAGAATTGCTCAATATCTTCTTCATTCATGAAGGGGTATACAACATGTGCAAATGTCCTGATGTCTTTGACTGCCACCCATTCAACCAAATCTATGAATTCATTCATGAGCAAGACATAACGAATCACAACAGGATCTATGCTGCCACACATTGCTTGAGCAAAAAGCTCAATGCTCTTGTTAGCTGGTGCAAATTTAATCATGCTTGTAAAGAAGTCATACACAGCAAGATACGTGACATCTGGAATGAGATAACGTTCCTGGAAGAAAGAGTACAAAGTGTCTACCACTGAAATTATCTGCTCATCTTCAACAGCATAATCATCTTGCCAGATCAGGTAAGAGTAAAACTGTTCAATAACTGATGATACAAGATTCTCGGGCAGCACCCGGGGAATCTGCCGATTAGTGGAAGTACGAGAATAGAAATCATCCCAAAGAAATTTGTATGAAGTGGTGAGGTGTTGCTGGGCTTTTAGGATGGAATCTTCTCCATATGACAGTGCACTGGCTGTTCTTGCTGAAAGAGCTTGGACATTCTCTGGGGTTTCAGCTACAGGCAACGGATGCTTTTCTTCCAGTGAAATGTGCACTGTTGGTCTGATGATTTTAATATGAGTGCAGTTGTGGGGTAGTGATACAACCTTGTGATCGGTAATCTTGTGCGGACAGATTAGAGTAGTCTCGCCGCAACTAGCACAAAACTTTGCATCTTTAAACTCATGATAGTGTTTCCCTTGGTTACAAGAGTAATACATCATTGCTGAGTACTTGCTAAGGATTTTCTCATGTGGGATGAATGGGTCTTGATGGTGTGCACTGTTCATAATCTTCACAAAATCAATCTCTTCTTCTTCTTCTTCTTCTTCAGGCTCGCTTGGTTTCTTGCCTTTTTCTCTTTCAATGTGGAAGAGACTTCTTTTCCTCTCTGACTTTTCAGCTGCTTCTCTTTCCATCGCATTTGCCTCTTCCTCAAGCTGGGCCAACTGGTCCTCAAGGCTGGACCTGTGGATTTCAATGAGCTGGAATTCATTTTTAACATCAGCAATACTTTGTTTGAACCTCTCCTTGACTTTATGCAGCTCCTCTTCCAGCTTCATTCTCTGCTCATGTTCATCATCTGGGGTAACGCGAAAGCTACTTCCTGACCCGCTGCTCTTCAAATCAATGTCAGTGGTGGGTAGAGCCTTGTTCTTTTCCAGGAATGACTCATATTCTTCAATAACTACATTTTGCATGGTAAGAAGTTGCTCTTCTAAAAGCTTCGCCGAAGCAATGTCTTGAATTATCTGTGCCCTTCTTGTTAACACAGCTGGTTTCTGTGGTTTTTTCTCAAACACTTTCGAGTCATTGAAAGCCTCTTCTAAAGCATCATATCCCTCTTTAAACTTCTCAAGAAACTTGTTCCTTTCCTTGACATGAGTGAGTTCCTCTTTAAGGCTGGAAATGCGCTTCTCATATCTAGTGAAACAAATTTAAATAATATACCATTATGTTTTAATATTGAATCTCAAACTTGGTAGCGCTGGATACATTGCTCCTAGCAGCCACCCTTACCAGTTATTCACTGTAATTGTCTGATAAGTGTAGTCATTTTTGGTCATGAACAATGTTGTTGCAATAAAGCGATCAGAATTACTTCTGAAGTCTAGAGCAACATTTCTTCCATAGAATCTCAAATTTGCATACATTTAGGTTACCTAGTTAGGGTGACTGACGGATGCATTAAAGTTTGTTTTTAATGTTGTGGTTTTATTTGCTTCATGTGATTTGCTGAGCTGTTTTTAAAAAGGAAAGAAATTCCTGATCCAGGTTAAACATCAGTCAGAGTATTTTTTTGCCATGAACTGGTTGGCTGGTTGGGTATATTACACTATCTACTGGAAAGAGATTTAACCAGTGGATAGCATTACCCAACTTTCAAAAAACTGAGGCCAGGTCTGAAAATGGGTATGGGTTTTAGAGGACGGGTCCAAGGACTTGGGGCTATTGTATTTAATATCTGCACCCCCCAGTTGAGGAACCATGGAATTCTCCATGGGTAAGATATAAAAATTGAGGACTTCTTTAGGAGTAGAGTGAAAAAAATATGAATTCTTTGGGGTGAAGCTTTAATTTTCACAAAATTCTTTACAGGTAAACCCACATTCTTCAGGGGTAAACTCATATTTTATGGAAGTCTACACGGGTGAATGCAATTTTTGCCAATCTTCAGGGGTAAGAAGAATAGGTAAGTCCTCAGGGGGGAGGGGCGGGGAGTATGGATATTATTAACAATTATTCCTCTACTCGAGCCCAAATGGGCTCTGAGTCAATAGCCCATGAGGGCTATTGGTAAAAAATATCGAGAATAAAAAATTTTAGCTAGTTAAAGCTAGACATTAATCCTTTTTTGCCGCCAAAAAGCGCGCGTTTTTCGCTACTAGTAGGCTATATCATATAGCCTAGTAGCAGCTCAACCAATCCGAATGCAGCATTGATAATACACCACTAGTTGGATTTTACTAAAATGCAACAGCCCTTGGAGAACCAGGTCCCAGGAGCAGGTGGTACACCCTTGCCAAGAATTGCCAGGAGAACCCCCCACCCCCGGGAATAATAATTATTATGAATATAGTAATGATAATAATGGTAATAAATTCAGGTTTCACTATATCTCTGACCTGTCTTTAGCGGCCTGCTGCATCATTTGTTCATATTGTATATTGGCTTCAAGTTTCCTTTGCTCCAAGTTGTTGTTTTCCATTTCTATTTCCATGTTGTAAATTTTATCGCTGCTTTCTTTGAGCGATTTTTTAAGTTGGTCGATGTTCTGATTACATTCCTCGAGCTGTTTGTCTTTGTCGTTGAGTTTGTTTTCTAGGGCGGTAATGTTTGCTTGCAACTGGTCTGCGTTTTTGTCGCGTTCCTCAAACACACGATTGACAAGTACGAAATACGGAATACGTTGGATGTATGAAGTCTTACTCCTCCCTTTATTCGGTGGCACTGTTGTATATTCATTGCTGTACACCGCGTCGTAAAGCTCATCTCGCAGCATCTTCAAAACATTTTTATAAACTCCCAAACAAGGAATCACTTCATCAAAAACATGAAAGCAAGTGGTCATTCGCTCTTCACTTAGCCCTTTCTTTGGCGTGTCCTCGACCAGGAGGACTTCATACCTTGTTGCGGGTGACCGAGAAGATAAAGCTCTTCGATCAGGATTCATAATTTCTCGGAAATAAAATGACCTGAATTTGTTTTCGTTTTCAAGCCGCCATATTTCTTGTTGCTACGAAAACAATGGGAACTGGGGACTAGCTTTCGCTCAATCTCGTCCCCAGGGTCCTCTCGCTTTCCAATATGGCGGCGGCAGGAGAGAAGACCCTGGCACACAGCGAACTAAAACGATCGCTGATTGGTGCATTCCATAGCGCGTTCATACGTGCGCTCTCATTGGTTTATTCCTTCCAAAACAAAGATGGTTAACCTTTGAGGGCTTCGTAGAAGCTGAGAAGTGCTTTCTTCAGTGTTTGAGACCTAAAAGATGGACAGAATTCAGGTCTGATTGTTCGGAAAACTGTGACTGTACCGTTGGAAGGCAAAGATTCGAATATAGTGATATCTGGTAATCGCTGGGAATATTATAACGCGTAGAGGTATTTCTGTTACTCGTGCTATTTGGTTTGTGTGTTCCGAAAATTACTAAAGATTTGTTTCTTTAATTCCCGATTTGTGAAAGAATACTTGCAAGGCTTCAGCTTATCAATAAATTTAGCTGCCCGTTGCAAAGGTGTAGTATTGTTCTGCCTTTTGTTTTCTTTGAACAAAAGCTGTATGCATAATATTATTAATGTATGGGGTTATACGGAAATCTTGCATAATCTGCGCTTCGTCTCAGCAGTTTTTTGTCAAGTGAAACATTCTTTTCATTTGATCGTAACATTCATGGGCCTAACCTGGCCTTCTTTTAATTTTTCCACTGTGATTTTGAAGGGGGACGAGGAGCGAGAGAGGCAGATGTCGAAAAAAAACTAAAAATTGAAGCCAAACATAGTGTCGCTATCATTTGATATTTTTAATCCTGACTGTTCATTTATTCAGTTTTTAGTGTCACAATAATGATAATTTATTATTATTTGCTCATTTCATTGGCAGTAAAATACAGCTAAATACAAAGACATTGGGAAAATAAACTGTTTCCTTTCTCAGAAATGAAAAACTTACATATTGATGTATTGAAGCTTGTGGGATTTCTTTCTAGTTGCAAAAATAAAATAAATGAAAGCACATGATGTCTTTTATTTTATCAAGTTGAAAACAGTGATCAGCCCATTCAAGGAAATCTGACAGTCTTGGATTCTCAATTTTGCACCATGGATACTGCATTCTGGATTCTTTGTCAGTGGAACATGGATTCCGGATTCCAGTTATAAGTGGGATCCAGAGTACTTTAGGACCTTTATTCCAGATTCCAAGAGAAAAATTTCCCAGATTCCAGACATGGGGTGACAGTGACCCCAAGATAAATACGTTTTCTGTCAAACTAAAACCTGTCAATTGAGCTTCTAATTACTGTAGGCTAAGTGTGCATGTTGTTCTTGTCACTATATCCTTGAAAAGGGGGTTTGTGGACCAGGTGAAAAAGTGGCTGGTACTGTAGTATTCCAACACCAGCTGGGTATGATTGTGAAGCAGCTATAATTCAGTTCTAAAACTTGGATTTAAAAAAATAAACTACTTCAAAGGGCGCATATATCACCATCCACTGAATAAACAAGAGCGGAAGGGGCCTGGAGCATCTCGATCATGGGATTTTTCATGTCGGGATGCAAAGGCTTTTGAAGTGTTTTGTGCCAGAGTCCCCATTAGCATAGTGAGCTTTTAGTTGCCTAGTCATGGCCAATGAGTTTTAGGTCACGTGGTCCCAAGCGAAATAGTGAAACAGTTTCCCTCCAGTTTGCCTAAGATAAGTCACCGAAATGAATTGACCAAGAATTAAGGCCTTGGAAAATGCCACACAGGGACAAGGCAAGGCTTTTAGCTTGTTTAGGTGTTGCGGTGTGAGGTTGCAGCTGTTAGATGTGCTGGCTTAAATACTTTCCAAGTCTACTTTAAGGTGTTGGTTAGTCTTAGTAATAGTGTCTGTATTATAATCATATCGTCAGAAATAATCAGATTAACCCAACTATTAAACTGATAATCGATTACAGTAGATTATAGTTTTGTGACCCCTGTGTGCCACTTTCAACACTGAAAATAATTTTGTAAGTGAACAAAACAAAAAACCTACCCTGCAAGCAGAGGCTTATCTGTCACATAGATAAACCAACTAAACATCATATAAACTAAATTAAGACCCCATCAAAAAGACAACACAGGTGTATTAATGTCCTTATTTGTCAACAATGTTTTTGTGAATTTTCCACGACAATCAACTGAACATTTGTATAAGCAATACTCACTTTGCTTTAGGTTTCTGATGCTTTATAGAATTATGATCGATAATCAGCACACCACTACAAAGTCATGTCTCAATTAGAGTACGAAAGGGCCCAACTGACGAGCAAAGCATGTTTGACTTGAAACATCTATTATCTCCAAATGAGATAGGAACTTTTACTGCGCACATGACTCAGATAGGACTATCAAATTTTTGAACAACTGGAGTCTAGCCTTTAGTCAATTTGCACATTGACATGGCAAAGTGCAGCCCCAAGTAATATGTCAAATAAACCAAAGTCAGGGATTAAGAAAGTTTTTGCTCTGAAAATCAAATCTATTTCAAAGTGGAGAATACATTTTGGATTGCTATATTAGAAACAATGGAAACGCTCTTCACCTTTTGCTAGCTATTAAAGCGGAGTTAATGCTTTTTTTACATCTGAGAGGCAAAAAAAACCCAATAATAACAACATCTTAAATCCTCTATTAAGGCCTCCTCTCTCAAATAAGCCCTCGTTTTCAGTGAAAGAAAGTTTTAACAATAAGCCCCCATCTTTTTTAACCCCCATCCCACCTTCCCCCTTTTTCTTATTCTTCACTAATAAATAAGAGACTGTATAAATCAATGAAAACTATAAAGCTTTCTGTGGACCGATCCAGGATGATTTATTCACCAACTGGAAGTTCGGATTTGTTTTTGATCCTCGGCTGCTTGACCTCCAACCTTCTTGACTTGGGCTTTTTCACTTGGCATTTTTTGGGGGGGAACTAATACCACCGTCTTTGCTAGATTAAATAAGGCCCCTATCTCTATTGCCCGGAAGCACTGTGAACGGGGTTAGATATCAAAAGCCAATAACAAAGTCTAAAAACTGTGAAGTAGATGAAGATTGAAAATAATTTTATTACCTGTACCAGTTCAAGTGACAAAATATCCAAACTGACCAAGGAACTGTTTAATTTTCAACCAAAGTTTCCTCAAATTATATTAACAAAATAGTGTTCTCTGGTTCTTGTTTTCAGAAAAAAAAATTGTTTTTTTACATATCAGAGCTCAGTTAAAATTTGTGCAGATAGAAAAACAATAGTCAAAAACCTCATGAAGATCTGTAACAAAACTGACGATAACTTATCAGCTTAAAGTGTCTGCGACTCAATTTAATGCTTAGTTGAATTTCGGAGCGGAAGAGGTCTTAGAGCGTCATGACAGAAAATTCCCTGGCTTCAGAGGTCTGTTCTCGAAATTCCTAACATGAAGAAATAAATTGCGCTCACGGTTAGAAAAAGCTCCCCCTTTCACGAAAGAAGAAACCTGAACCTCTGGCGCTCAGGGTACGGCAAAAAAAGAAAACGGTGAAAAAAGGTCGGTATCGAGAAATTAAGTTGTAGACAGCCGTGTGCGCTAGAACTTTCAGGCTTAAAACAAATGAAGGTCATTGAACAGAAAATAAGATCGCTATATCATTCTACCGTATTCCTGTGGCTTGTAAGTGTATTCTTTCATATTTTTAGCTTCTTTTGAGTTCTGCCTTTGCCGCCATTTTGTTTGTTTTTCACCAGTCTCAAGACCTCGTACCCAGATCCTCTCACTCTTTATCTTGGCCGCCATTTTGAATAAATCTCCACTCTCCGTGGACAAATCAGTCACGTGATTTCTGTTGTGTGCCAGGGTCTTCTCTCCTGCCGCCGCCATATTGGAAAGCGAGAGGACCCTGGGGACGAGGTTGGCTTTCGCTGACCGTCTTAAGATAGTCGGACAGGCTCAATCTTTCTCTTCGCATCGACATCCCCGCTTCTGGCTACGAAAGTAAGTGAGGAATAAAATCCTTTTTCATCCTTGAAGTGTCTTTTGTTTTTCCACCGTTTCAATGACTTGGATGTGTATTATAACGCATTCAATTCTTTGCGAGGTTAATTGTTGTGGGGGAACTTGATTTCGCCTTGTCTGTGATAAGACGCCAGCATGGCTACCTTATACAAGCAAAGATTAAGTTTTGGCTAAGTTTTATTCGTTCGATTTTAGGTAACTAGAGGATTAAAATGTCTCAACCTACGCGGTAAGTTTATATGTTTTAGTGGACGGCGCGGAACCTTGTTTTGATTTTAATAATGATCGAAGCAGTTTCTCTTTAATCATTATATTAATATAAGCTTAAGCTTAATAATTATTAGTACTCAGTAATCACACTAAACTTATTCCTAACAGGGAAAAGTTTTAGTTCAAGAGATACCATCAGCTCAAAATTATAAAGTGGTACTCATAAAGACATGTAATTTTGTACTCATAGTCAAATCTAAGGGTCACTAGCTACTTATGCCAGTGCTATAACCTCGAGACATCAGATTTGTGTTCATGTTCACTGTGTGGTCTGCTCTAGTCATGCCAACAACAGCAGATTATTCTGATCATCTGTTCGCATACATGCCAATATTTATCAACAAATAGACCTCATTTTAAAGTGGCAACATCAAATTTTGTTATCCTTCTGTCTGGACGACAATGGGCCTTCGAATCCTCCCTAAGGATAAAATTTCCTTTGAATTTTGCAAGTGGAAGTGAGGAAAAGAAGGCCAGTTAACATAAAGATACTCTTTTTTTATATTTCAATATATTTAACAAGAATGTCAAGGCTGAAATTTGTGAAATTTTAAGAATATTTTAAGAGACTTTGAAAACGACTCAATTTTGTGGGTTGAAAAATAATCCGTAAATTTATTCAATGCAGTTGTACAACACACTTTTAACTTATTCCTCTCTCTAAACGGCAAAACTAGCCAACAAAA